ATCACGTCAGTAAAATGTCTGCGTTGTGTCAATTAAATTTTGAACTGAAACCGAAATCATGCAGATCTGTTTGCAACTTAAATCTGGTATCAGTAATGCAGGCTAAGCGATTAGATCTTGCTAGACACAATTGTTGGACCCCTACGGTAGAATTCGTTTTCTAATCAATCTTGCAACATCTTGCTGAGGGTAAATGTAATTTGCCTAGGCCGTCTGGAACGTGATAGAACAAAAAAGTACACGATTTAGACCATGAAATATGCTCTACACCAGATTAACTGATGGGTGCCGTCAGACAGTGGAAATGTTGGTCTCTGTTTCATTACCCTAAGAACTAACGTAAAAGGTTATATATATGTTGCAAAGCTAGAGGAGAAATTAAAAATTCCAATACACGCTCGTGACTGAAAGCTGCGTGCATGATAATGCAACGTGCCATAGAGCAGCGAATGTCGGTTATTTTCGGAACAGAGGGAAACACTCTGAACTAACCTACAGATAGCCATGATCTCCATTTGGTTGACAATTTGTGGAAAATTATGAAAGATAAATTTGCACAAAAGCAAGCATCTAATGCCAGAGACTAAGGTTAGACAATAACACATGCATGGGTGAAGGAAATCACGGTGGGGGGGTTACCGAACCACAATTCACACGGCTCGCCGTCTACCAACTTTGGTTAACAACGATGGAGAACGTATCAACTATGGAGGAGGACAATAACAGTCCGAGTTACTTCACATGATGGGTCAGTGCTGCACTTTAGCAAACGTAAAAATCGAAAGTTTGACTTTATTTGCTATGAAATAATTATTTTAGGAGATTTCGCTCAGGGGTCGTAAACTCTCCGAGAGCTTCAGCACCAATTACTAAGTCCGGATCTTTCATTTGTTTGCATATAACCCAGCAGTTTTCCAACGCTTCTTTATCCACCCGCCTCTCAGCTCCGTACTCTGTACTAGCTAAGGTTGCATATAATATCTGATATTTTCAGTCTATCACGCAGTTTGAAATGGAAGATCCATCTTTGGGGAGCAGCCTAGCCGTCGTTTTACCATCGGCTGTTGGTTGGCTCATCAGCTTACGAAATTTGCGTGCCTGCTCACTGCCCGCGTGTATTCCACCACCACCCGATCTGACCTCTGTGCCACCCTCTCGGACATCCACGAACTTTTTCCCTCCTGTTCAAGACGCACCTGGAATACCACAACGTCGCTCAAACAGGTTCCAGAGTTCTTCATCCTCAAGTGCACACACATCGAGTACGCCAGTTTTCGCCTCAAACACTGCCGCCTGTCGCTTATTGAATCGTGCGCTCATTTCATTGCGTTACCTTCAGAGGTTGGGACTCGCTAGATGTCATTTGACAGGGCAGTTGAAAACTCTTTTGAGCGGACTGAGTCAACCATTGGAATACCTCAATTTGCAAGTTAGTCCACTCGTTATGTTACAATTTGTTCACATCCAACTACTAACTGTACTTACTCGTAATAATGAGTACTAGGGTACTAGTTCTGACTACTGCATGGTACTTTCACAGCGTAAGTGCACTTGAGTGTTTCATCTAGCAGTGAATCATAAACGTTGAGTAGCAGCAGTGCGCTTACATCCTGTCGGGAAGACACATTTACGGGCAACTGGCCAACATGTGAAGATAAGTCGATCTAGGTGATATAGCCTTTTTACGACTTTCACTGCCCCACGTCGCAAGTAGTCATACTTCATGGATAACTCAGCATACGATACACTTTAAACAGTAGGTTCGGTCAAAGACAAACAACTAATGCATCACTGGTACCTCTTTCCTACGATGACATGGAACCTCTGGAGCTAAGCACAAGCTACGTATTGTCCGCTCCAGTCCGAAAGGCAAAACTGTCCAACAACACACAGTTTGTCCGCCAGTGACTTTGTTTCCGCTACCAGATAGATGATTTACCGCATGGGCCTTGAGCCGACCTATATCAGGTAAACAAAGCAAGACTGTCTTCGGTAAACAGCGAGCGCGTATATCTAGAACGTACCCAGACAAAACGCAGTTCATTCAGTATCTTGGGGGAGGGGGTGTGTATCGCAACATCACTATTCGGAGAGATCCTACCCAACCAGAAATGCATTGGACATCAAAACCCTCCTACCACCATCTTTCTTTAAAATGTTATTTGCTGTTCTAAGAAACCGACCTGATCAAAGTCGCTGTGAACATCACCATTCTGAACACTTTTACCATCGGACGCAATGTGCTCCACATTAACGACCTGAATGTGCCTCATAACACCAAGCGGAAGAAGTTAGAACGCATTCTGGTAGAGAAGAACAACTTAAATTTCTAGCAACTGTGAGCGGTTTTCAGACGCAGCGAACTCCCCTAATAGTTACAACGTCGTCGTACGTTAAGGGATGGATGTCAAATTTTCGTAATAAGTAAATTAGCCCCAGCAGCTACATGCCCTCTAGTGATTATGCAGCTGCTAAATTAGATGAATTGGTTAACTATCCCCAGTTTTCTGACTTCAACAGTTAAAGGATTAGCAAGCACGTAATGGCCCTTCAACAGCATTTCACTAACTGAAGGTACTGAACGCATCCTGAAGGATAGGACCACAATTGCAAGCTAATGCAGTGCTGAATGTACTGCCCATCGGCAAGGCGATATTAAACGCATAATGTAGAGCAATCAGTTTGTTTCCAGGTAGCATCATAATACCTGCATCCTCAGGTTATGCAAGAGAACCCGCCATGATAGAGCCCATAACGGACGCCAACTACTTTCGAAAGGTGTCCGACAATTCGCCATGCACCCTGGGGAGATCTGCAGTTTTCGATTCCAGTACTCGTAAACTGTGCACGCAGTTGATGAAAACAACACTCTCAGTGCGTATACCTTGGGGAGGATCCATTAATTGAGTAGAAGTTAGTTTTGAAATCGAAGAAAAATTAGCTAGTAGGCTTGTAATAAGTGGGAAACTGGTCTAGTAGCTGTGCTAGTGAGGACATGATCAACAAAGAATCCGGCCTGCTCTTCTTTCGTCCTCGATTCTGGATCCGTAGTAATGGCAAAGTACAAGAATTGTGGTCAGCGACTGTCTCTACCTGCGTCAGGCTGATGGCCCCATAGCACAGACAGTGCGACTTTTTCACTTTGTCTTCCGCCTTGATTGATTCGCCACGATTGGATGGGACTGTCTTTCCTACTATATCATTTGACACAGGTTGGTCATCGTTTTGCAAAGGACATCATCCGCACCCTTAATAATAATAACAGTTGTAGTAGTTTTATTCACGGTTTCACAAGAGGCATGCCTGTGTAAGTGTGATCAGTTAAACACATGTGGGAAGAACATTTTGATCATAATCTGCTCGGTAGTGCGTGCAAATGCAGAATAGGAGATACAGTCGAACCCGCTTTCTTGCCCACCCAGTTTATAGCTCATCCCGCTTTATTGCCCAGTTTGCAACATACAAATTCTTTTTTCATTAATATGCTAAATTTTCACCATTTAATTCTCCATTGCCGGAGTCGTCCCACCGCTTAATTGCCCATATGCATGGGCTGTGCTCTTGTCGCTTTATCGATGTTACACCCGTTCCTACTAGCTTTTATTCCGATTAGCCCACAGCTAGCCAGTCCGTTCGAGTCAAGGACAAAAAAGATGTCGGCGATGTTATTGACAGAAAAGAAATGGTTACCTATGTCATTCAATACACCAGCCACGTAAATGTACAGACGGCTGTCGGCAAGTATTCGGCTTTATTCAAAACTCGAGAACTGAGCGAAGTCGTGTAATCTTTCTGCTCCACATTTGTCGGTGCTCTAATGGTTACACACAAGCATGGACAGTAACAGAAAGCATTTGTCCTCGACAAAAGGTTGCACGTTTTGGAAGAAATTAAAACCTAACCAACAGTAACTTCGCAGGCCAAGTTGTCGCGTGATTTACGCACTTCTCCTTGTACTCTAGCCAGGTTGCTTGCCAGCGAAAACGAACGCCGGCAGAATTTCTCACATGGTACTGCAAGCTATCAGAAAAGGATGCGCTGTGGAAAGGATGAAGAAGTTGTAATTGCATTGAAAGACTGGATATTATCGGATCGTGAGCGCAGCCACGCGGTTATAGACTCGATTCTGAAGAAGGCAAACAACTTCGGTGAAAGACTTAGCAAAACCTTTGCTGCCACAGAAGGATCGTTGCAAAGATGGCAAAGTAACAATCAAATTGCGGGTAAACGTGCGCATTGGCGAAAAGAGTTCCGCGGATAGAGCACTCTGTGAAAATTGGTTAAAAGATTGATTGCCTGAACATTTAAACCTATTTGATGATGACAACGCTTACGATGTAGACGAAACAAACCTATATTACTGAACAACTTCAGAGGACTCTTGGATCTGCAAGTGGCTCGCATAAACCGCACTGATGATGTCGTCTAGCCTGACGATGAAACGTCTGCAACCAAATCAACCAGCTCGGAGAACACACGTATACCCTCAGAGGACTCTTAGTGTTTTTCTATCGACAAGCTCAGCGGGATCAAAAAAGCCATGGATAAGATCACTCTCCTTTGCTGCGCGTAAGTCAGACACGGATAATGGAATACTTGTTTCAGTTGGAAAAATTAAGAAACCACGGATTATAATGGCTTGAAGGTGGACACACTTCCCGTAACTTACAGTGCTAACAAAAATGTGTGGATGACAAAAGAACTTTTCATCACACGAGTACTCGAATGGGACAAGAGCTAGGCCAAAGTAACCGAAAAATTATCTTACACTTGGATAATTGTACAACACATTCGCAGGTAGAATACCTGAAAAACATTAAAGTAGAATTGTTTCCGGCAAACACGATAAGCATTCTTCAACCCATGCACGAAAGCGTGATTATGTATCTGAAAATCCGTTACAAAAAGAAAATCTTGGACCGAATTCTCTATCACATCGAAAACAAAATGTCATCTGGCTGATCGTTGGCGGTGTATGTCAGCGTCAGGATTTCTATGCTCGATGCAATTTAGTTGGTTTCAAAAGTTGGAGAAAGGGTACCGGTGCAACAATAAAATATTGCCTTCCGTATCCTGGCTTCAGTCAATTGGCATCCGGTGCAGTTTCTGATGACGCCGTCATCGCTGACGATGAGTCCAGCGCTTGCACAATTCCAGTCATCAATGCGGAATAGTTCGTCACAATTGGCGACAATGGGGTATGTACCTCAGATTTGACAACTTTTGAAGATGAAACCTTCAGTAAAAGTTTGGAGAACCGACTAGAACAGAAAGAAGGCAGCGACTCAGAGGATGACGTGCCGGATGTCTCCGTGAGTAACGACGATCCGCACGTGTCGCGTTTAAGAGTAAAGGATGATCTCTGTAGCTACGGAGTTTTGCATTGGTTAGGCAAAGAATTCCTTTTCCAACTAGGACTTCCAGCTAACACTATAGATTGTTTTCTCTGCAAAAATATTCAGTAGCGCCAGCTTCTATAGCTATCCAGATAAGATGTTTTATGCTATAATTTGTAAATTATAGGTCATGCTATTCTGAATAAACGTCTTTTATATGATTTTGTTACAAGTACGTATGTTATCCTTCGTCACAATGCAAGTAAGATACTGTACAATAATTCAATGTTTGTCTCCCTTTTGGAAAAGATGACAATATCGGGTAATTGCCCACCCCGATTTAGTGCCCAATTCAGAAATATCCCGATAGTGGGCAATATTGCGGGTTCGACTATAGATTACAACAAATTGAGACGTATGATTTCATGTCGAGATTTAGGTGCGATGCACTGAGAGTACTTGAACGTCTGTCGGGAGTCGAAAACATCAGTACAATTGTATGGTTTTCGTTTATACCAATTACAGTCATCCAGATAGAGGCAAATTTTCATAACCTTGAACCGATAGTTGATGCGATGTGGGAAGAGTGTCGTCGACGCTGGTTAGAAAGATTTTGTACTTCTGTCAGACTGTTTAGTCAGTATCTTTCTTGAACCTTGTACATTGCTTTGTTAATCAGAATGCAGCGGATTACTCTCGAATAGATAGACGCAATTGGTGATGCAATTTCCAGAGACTTGCATTTAACTATTTTAAGATACTCGAAAATCAGTGTAAGACCCTTGTCGTTGGGGAATAATGGACATCGCCAAGCATTACAACTAGATTAGGGGTGCATTGCATGAGTGCTCGACTGAGTAATTCGTGGACACTGCGTCGCTAGTGTTGTATTTCATGGTATACTTATGAGGGAAATTTTTCTCACTTAATCGTTATGAGCCGTTAACAGGACTCTCAACAAGCGTTATTCTTCCATGTGAAGCCAGGTATTGCAACACGTAAGTTGTAGTCACCTATTGTTGTTGGTCCAGGTGGTAAAATTCTCGGGAGTTTTCGATTTATCTGATCCAAAGAATATGAATTTGGACACCCTCAGTTCAACTACTGGTTGCGGGTGAGGTGGTGAGGGTGCGGAAGTCAGGACTTGAACCACGGCATTGCCTCTAATTGAGTTTACCAAATGACCAGCCATGGCTCAACTGGCATCACTAGAACATGTAGGTTCAAATGTAAGGTATCAACTAATTTGATCCTCAAAGTGCCCCACCCGAGGAGCCAGACGACTGGTATGACCTAAGGATTTTCCCCGCTTGGCTGCGGAGTTTAGTCTAAAATAGTTTATTATTCTACTTTTATTATCTACCTTGTTTGAATGTTTCTGGCGTCTGTTTGAGCCTACACATACACGCCTCTCCGACAAGGACTGTTATGGGCAACTAGAGGCCATCTGCGGATTTCGCATGCGCTCAAAACTCCTCAGCCATTGTAATAAAGTTTTGTGCAGCTCATGTTCGTGCTCTTCTGCTTCTCCGCAGTCGTCGATTCGTTCGCGCATCAACTATAGCGTTATATAATATCCTTCATTCTGAAGTAGAGCGCCCGTGCTGTCCTTGATGGTCGCATGAGTTCCTGGGACACGTGTTGTGGATCATTTGGAAGAGTCTGAGGTAAGTACCCACTGCCCTACCTTCTCCATTTCCCTAGCCAGACTAGTTCGCTAGGTCTACACATTTTGGTCCGCAGCGTGATTTTTCGATGGTAGCTAAACCAAAACCTTTGGCTCAGAAATGCAGGTCTAAGTTTGTGGAAGCACGACAACTTTGCGATTTTGCAGAACTGATGCCATTAAAGTTGCAACTCCTCTGGTCTTTGATTAATTTGGTAGGAGTAGCTACCAAGTAGGCCGACGGCTGCACGACCCAGTATTGTTCGGCTGGTCGAAGTGATGCAGACAGTCGTGATAGACGCTTTGGGTAGCACGCGAAGACCACGTTTAAACGCAACATGAAGGTTGTCAGTATAGATAAAATAAACAAATGAAAGGTATATTCTCAATGTTACGCGAGACACACCAAAGAAGGTATGATCAATTTCGTACAAGCGGATGTACGTGTTATTTGGGACGACGTAAGCTTTCAAGTACAAGAGGCCGAATGTAAACAGTTGTTTTCGAGAAATTCATCTCCAGAGCTTTACAATCATGAGGGTACAATAGCAACGGTCCACTGACATGCAAGTACTTTGATGCGCTGAAGAAATTAAGACGCAATAATAGCGATACCGGGGGTCGTTCTACTGACCCAAAAACTATGTAAACAAGCTCGAAAGAGTTCTGAATAATGAAGCGAAATTTTCCCGAACTATTGGAGAAAAGGACCAAACGGAAAGAACCGAAAAACTGATTATCAAAAGCTTGCCAGAGCTTCGGAATAGAGGATACATCACAAATCCTCTTTATGATAGCATTAAGCCGAGTGGCACAGATGTTCCGATGCTTTACTGATTACCGAAAATTCAAAAGACTAATGTCCAAATTTTCCCAATTTTATCAGTGGTTAATTCATCTTAACGTGCTGTCGCCCGATGGCTTCTGGAAAATCTTGTGCCAATATGACAGAGATTTACACAATACAGCCTTCGGCACACTTTTCATTCCATCGAAAGCATCAGCGACCGCAACACCGGTAAATAAATAATGTTCTTCTTGGATATTGTCTCACTTTTCACCAGCGTCCCGCTTCTCGAGATAATTGATTACATTTGCACCTGCAAATAACGATAAGAATACCATTGTATGAATTGGAAAGCCTTTTGCGTTGTACCTGGCACGTACAGTTCCTATTCAATGGTACCTACTACTGTCAGAAAGATGATGTAGCAATGAGATCGTCACTAGGTTAGTTGTTGGCTGATGTCTTCATGGCGAACTTCTAGAACGACAAACTACATGCGAAGATCACCACCTTTGATTACTACCATCTCTATATGGATGACATATTTGTTGTGGCTGATCACTCCAGTGAACTCGACGCTGTTATTGAGCGTTTTAATCAGGCCCACGCAGCGCTGCAATTTACCTGTGAGAAAGAAGCGAACAATCGGTTGCCCTTCCTTGATGTGTTGTTAACTCGAATGGTAGATGGCTCGATTCAACGGCAAGCCTACAGAAAAAAACCTGGAGTAGCCAGTATACGAACCTTCATATTTGCATTCCTTTGAGATACAAACAAAACCACGAGGGCCCGTAGGATTTGTTCTGAAAACACGTTGGATACTGAGTTGAGGTTCATTCAAAATGTGCTGCCCGAAAACGGGTATCCTGACCGATCCATTCTTAAGAACGTGCAAAACAAAATCGATCCGGTGCAGGTTCCAACGGCTGCGAAGAAAAAACTTTTATAAGATAACGTTTCAAAGGGGACTCAGCTGCCGAACGTTTGCCCAGAAGCCTTACAAAAGCTGTCAAGTCAACTTTCCTAGCTGCTAAGCTCAAGTGTACTTTCGCAACGGACTCTCTCATTCGTATTCACAACAAGGACATTTTGCCGAAGCTTATCGCTTCTATGGTCCTTTCTCCTTTCGAGTGCGCATGTGGTGCCACATACACCGGTCGAACGGCGCGGCACCTGTCGAAGTGCATCAATGAGCACCTTCCACGCTGTTTGCGCCGAGGCGGTCTCGGGGCTATAACTAGCTCCGTTATTGGACTTGAATTCGACCCAATCCGCGCTTTTCGAATATTATACAAGGTTCCTCCACTCCAGTCGAAAGACCTGCGCCCCCGCACCCTCGCCAAAGCCGAGGCGATCAGCATTCGGTTGTAGCAATCGCTTTTATGTTCACAAAAGAAGCTGATAGAAGCTCTTAAGCTACCCTGATCAGATAAACAAACAATTCTGATGCCAGGAGCAATACTTCGATTACGTATTTGCCCTAGTTAGCGCTTATCGTTTGCGTCGGTTGCTGGTTTTTACCCTTGATTGGCACGTGATCTAATTTTATTTGAACTGATCGAATCCACTGTTACGCCCATGGCTGTTGTACCCATATGATTATGAACGTCTGACGATGAACTTGTTTAACTTCGGTCCCTTGTACTTGATAATTAAATGGGAAGTTTTCAGTGACTTACGCATTATTTCAACTGCATCGAGTGTTTCGCTATTTCTGTCCGTAAGTATCTTTCTTGGTGAATTTCATCCGGATCAGCGCAGGTGCCCGTAGCTTGAGTTTGTTCAAATTTTTTTCTAAATGCACGGTAAAATACCAAACTTGGAATGTATAACTAACTTTTTCTTCAAACAGTGCTCGAGCAAGTTTATTGCCAACTCCTTTGAGTGATCGCACGTCAATTGCTTTGTACGACTGACGTTGTCAGGAAACTGTGATATGCACCAACACCACTGTCTTTGTTTACATGTGAAGCAATTCACCGGTGGCGGGAGCGCCACCCATCGATCGAGCACTTGTCGTGTGCGTCCCCTTTGGTCGGGACTAGGGCATAGCACCCGTTCGACGTCCCTCCATCGATTAAGGTTTCACATGTGCCTGATTAAGGACAAAACATATTGGACTACAATGTCTTATTTTTCTTATTTCCCGGTTTATAGGATTGCTGCCTTGCTCCGGAGGATGTGGGCTTTCTTGTGCACCACTGGCGACCTCTGCACGGCCTGTACGAATTGAATCTGTCTAGAAACAATTTATCCAAGGTACCGGACGAGACGTTCGTTCACCTGGTGGATACAGTGTGTAAAAGACCACCTGGACAATTGGTCTGTCTCTCGATAGCATACACATGCATGTCTACCGACCGATTAACCTGGCTTGTGGGTCTGATGGCCGGCATGGTCAATGGTTCTCAAGTGAGTTGCTTGAACATGTAATAATAAGAATGTACATTTATCATGGTACCGAGAAATCGGGCCCACAAATGTACTACTCATAGACGTACACCGTGTTCACGCACGCAGAGTTGTCGACGGTTGAAGTTTCTACAGGGATGCAACAAGGACATTTTGATGAAACTCTTCCTTTTGGGGCTTTCACTGTCATCGCCCTCCAGTTCACGTGCATTCCCAATTGCTTCGTACGGCTGCGTGTCTGGGAGAGCATGATGAAGGCAGGTTCATTAAATAGGAAGAAACACTCGGAGCCGTTAATAAAAAATCAGAAAAGTATTGCTCAATCATGGATGTAACGAATACTCTATGTTTGGAGCATTTGGACTGGGGTGGAAAAATGGAGAATCGGGGGTTAATGCATTAATGTGGCACACTATGAGCCGTCATACATTTGCTGCTTTAACCGAGTAAGGTGAAGAAGTACACACAGTGGGAGTTAAGGCAGGGGTAAGTGCTAATCGTTTACAGAACTCAATATCAGGTTCGTATGATCAGGCGTCTGCTATCTTGTGGGTTTTGTAAGGTTATGCTTCTTATCCCATTATAAACGATTGACGAGGTCTTGTGTGTTAATGAACAGCTGAGAAGCTAGGTAGGCTCAGTGACTTCTTTTCAGTTTTCACTTGTATGGGGGAAATAGAAGGTCTGCATGGCCTCGCAAAGGGAAGAATAACCTTGACATGGGAGAGGTAAAGCGTTTCGGTTGACTTATCATTTCGCCTAAAAGTGCAATCTGTCAGGTATGCATGACCAAGCAAAATAGCGAATGCGTACGAGTTGTGTGAGAAGTAAGCGATACAGGGTTGAATATTTTTCTTCACCTGCATGTGAAGCTTCCGGGTTGGCATGTTTGATTAGAACAGAAGATATGCTGGGATGAGGTGATGTAGCATCATCTATCGTATACTGTTTTGGGCCAGAGGTTATTAAGACAACTGTAGATACTTAAAAACCGAATATTTTCCTTGTATTCTGCATGGTGAGAAAGGCAACCAAATTCTTTTTAACTTTTCTTAGACCTTACTTGCCCGTACTTTTAATGCTAGCTTGTTTAATAAATGAGCATAGCATGCAAGGAAAATGTTTGAAAGGATTTTTAGCCTCACTTTTAGTAGTGGTAGTAAGTAATCTGTGTTTCGTTTGGAGTTGGTAGAGGAATTTGCAATGTGAGTTCTGCGGTAGTTAGTCAATCATATCAAGTCAAAATGATTTTTAATGTATCCGAAAGCGCGCATTTACAGCTCTTTACAACAACTACCGCGGATGGATAAAAATGGCAAATTTATCGATGAAAAAATTGGCATCGGGTGCACAGGTGTCACCCGAATAGGATCCCGTTTATGTAAGTAATAATTTCTATTTAAATAGTAAAATGATTGGTTGGCATTTGCTTTCTGTTGAAGTTACAGTATTGGATCCTTGCCGGTTAATCGGGACGCTAGTTCTTTAGGTTCTAAAACCGCCTTTGATATATTTACGCGTAGAACGCACATCTTCTCAAGGCACGTTTTAAAAATTAGCGCAGTACATCGCTAATGACATTTAAACAGTAGAACCGAAGAAAATTTTAATAATCCCCTGTGAAGTCTGATGAATCCGCGGCAGATAAAGTAACAACGGTGTTCCAGTGAAATGGCAATGGATGATTTAAAGGCCCCGCCAGCGGGATGTTTCCGTTTGTACGGGGATAGCACTCGTGTACTGTGAGTAGTATTAGTAGCAGTTTAATGGACAGTTCCCATCTTTACCTGTATAACTATTTCATTTTTGGTTGAGGACTGCCGGCAGTACCTTGTTTCCATTATCGATATGTATTGGTGACCGAAATGACAGAGATTATACGTGTCAGGTTTGCTTGCTATTGGCAACAAGAAACACAATGTGCTGTTACATTTTGAAAATTAGAGGTTGGAACAAGACGTTCGGTGCTACGTTACTGTGTATCCATGAATTCTTTACAACACTGCTGCAGCTTTGCTTCATGAGAAGTGGTTCATTCAAAGTGAAACGGGACAAGTTTCACGTTGTATTTAGGCGGCAAACTGAATACGGCCAATTCAGCAGCACTGTATTTATAGGGAACATCCAACGCATGGAATGGCAAGAGTGTTTTTCTGCTTTGGTGCTGTAAAACAGCTTTATGGCAAAAAATATGGATGACCACCCATGGTTGGCGGCATCCGGTTTCGGATTTGCCTGTCACTGTGGCAAGCCACAGGACGCCTGCGCCTACAGAGGGACCATGGATGGCTTGCGCTGCACCACCCACAGCTCCAACCACATACCCCATATCCAGTGTAAACCCGAAGGAATAATATCGGGAGGCATGTGAATGGGAGCCACGTTTCACCAACGGAGCCGGCCCACACTCCTACACAGGCTAACACAAGCACGCTGTAGTTGGGAATCAAGCGCACACAAGGCGGTGGCTGGACCGTAGTCCGCTCCACACTGACTGCATGGAATCACTCTTTGATCCTAACACGGCCACAAGGATCGTGCACCCCGTCCCCTCCAGCAACGGCAAACTGTCTCCTGGAGCCAGTATGGACGAGGTAGTGGGTAATAGACAGGTAGGCACCTTGTCAACATGCACATCAAATGCAGCCACACCGGGGATATCAAACAACAGCCCTTCACTTGAGAGAAAGATAAACAAGAAAATAAATCGTGTAATGCATAAGAAAACGGTAACATAAACCTTAAGTTAATGAGCATATGAAATAAGCTGTTTACACACGAATCCTAGATAAGTTCAGGAGGTCAGAAAATATACTTTACGGAATGCCACGAACACAAAAATGTTATGGAAATCGAATACAATTGGCTTAAGCGACGTGTGCAAGTTAATGGAATAGAGTACATGTAGACATTTACATGAGAAAGAAAAGCATTTAGGCAAAATTGAAAACCTGCCACCTGAAATAAAGAGATTTAACATGCAAGCACGCGGTTAGTAAATCGAATGTAGCGTACCTACAAACGCTGCGCCGGTTCTGAGTACTTCTCTGCAGAACCCGTCGTTGCTTCTGTAGTGGTCCCGAGTGGCCTCGCTCATGGCTCACACCTGAAATGACTACGCATACAAGGCTGCCAATCGACAAATCATAATGCTTATGTCTCAGGCACGTCTTCTATCGAGTAACCTTTAGTGGGAGCCTGGAGAGAGATTCTAAAAGGCAGATCCGGTTGCAGGGAAACATTAATTGGTACAGCAAACGTTCCCTGTTGCCTTACACTAAAAAATGCGACACCGTTGACGCTGTAGCTAGGGGAACGCAATGAGCACAGAACACAAAGCAGTCGTGTGTTGCAACCGAAAGGAGAGATAAACGAAAATGGCGATGCTCAACTCGAACAATGGAACATAACCACCAGCACAACATTGCGCACCGGTCGCCTAAGTATGCAATGAAATAGTGCTATTCTTTAGAATTTTACACAGGGGCACCGGGGAATCTCCAGGCTGCTACACTCTTTCCAATGTGTGCCTGTACAAAGTTCCCAACTACGAGTTGACTTTAGCGTTACAGTAGCCTCAATCGGGACGCGGTTTGCTACTTGCCAGTAAGTGCCAAAGACGTTTTGACAAGAAACGCTATAATCTATCCAAGATATGTTGGATCAGAGGATATTAGTCAATAGTCGAAGTTCGTTTCAGGTGTTTTATTCGAAAGCAGCTACAATGCTCGATCAGTATGGCACACCAAAAAATTGAGTTACCGCGTAGTACTCACAGAGGATGTCAGTCGCGTAACGTATCCACAATCACATGCAACTTTTGTTTAGTAGGCAGTGAAACTCTGAGGCTAATGGGGTATGTAGGTCTTAAGCACATACGAAAGTATTTATTAAATAGTATACCGAGTTGTCAAAGTGAAGGTGAATTTGTTGAATTTGCCTTACGGACCTTACTAACACTGTCACACAAAGCTAGTCTACTTAACCGGTGCATCGTTCAGTACTCAGTACTCACCTGAACCGGCTTGAAAGTTTGACAGATTGATATTACCGCTGAACGGCTCAACGGAGCTGGGTTCATTTGATGAATGCAGTCGATTACCCTGTGCATTTTATTAGCCACCCGTGGGCGGGGTCCCCGAAGTGGATTATGTGTCGAAGATATTTGGCTTCCCAGAAATCCCACGACCATCGTAAGATACATGTACGAACGTGGCATGTTATACTTTCTAGCTACTACTACCTCGAGCCAATAAAACGTGGAACCACAGACAGTGGGCCCATCGTCTTTGGACTGAGCGGGAATAGTACCGGGTTTTGGGCTGTCACACTAGTTGTTTCACTGTAAGCAAACCAGACTTATACTCAAAGTTTACCGACATTTACCTTGTTTGGAAGCACAGGATCACCCCGACCAGTCAAATCTGCCCTTTACTATACAGAATTAACACATAAAATGTTGCTTGAACTAAGTAACACAAATGAATTTTACTGTGCAGGAGGGCTCGATACTACGGCGTCGTTGACTGTACAATGGAACAATGGAACAATGGTATATGACGGGTAAAAAAGCATACACTTAACGAGTCCTGCAGGTTGGCAATAGAAATACAAACAGATTGACAAACCACATAAGTGCGTGTAGTAAGGAGCGTCAGTGAGATAACAGGCAGAAGTATAACAGTTTTAGGGGGATAAAGTGGTACGACGCAAAACTGGCTAAGAAATTGTTATCGTTGGTGATGGTAGCAAATAAAAATGGAGTACTCACCGGTTCGCACAGATTTACGACCGTGAATTTGGGGTATAAATCCAAAGAGGCTGGTCAGCCTAAATATATACAAGCGTTTTCGTTCATAAAACAAAGCGCAGGGCGCTCAGTGCGACGTCCAATCGTTTTTTAAACGTATCTAATGTGGGGGCACAAACAACTGAGTTTGGAAGGGCGTTCCAGCGCCCGCAGACCCGGAGGGAGAAATAGGTTCTCCGACAGTCTAGAC